TAGAGAATGAACTTATAAACTTTAAACAGAAAATGAAACAACATAAATTAAACTGTAGAATGAACTTATAAACGTTAAACAGATAATGAAATAACATAAATTAAACTGGAGAATGAACTTATAAACTTTAAACAACAATAACAAAATCTATATTTGTTCGAAGTTTGGCAAACTAAATCTTTTATCAGTTTCGGTATAACTCGTGTTTCTTAGTTTTGTAACAGCTTTATTAGAAATTTAAAGGAAACGTTACGTCACGACGTACAGTGATCTGTTGAAAGCAGACATCTCGAAGTCGCTTTCTGGGTTGACCAAATAGTTGTTCTCATAGTGCTGCCCCGCATGCATGGCGAGGATAGTGCTTTGCTCGTGCAGTTCGGTAGCCCTGTTATTCCAGAACCAATTGGATACACAAACTTGTGGAGAAATCCCTATTCCCTCGAATCCTTCCATTCGTACCTGATGGAATCCTACGTTGTCAACTACGGTATTCCGGCTGACATTAGCTTTCACTTGAGCTAGTACAATATTGTCTCGGTAGAGGGCATAATTGTGAGTGAAGTAATTGTTATGTAGATGCACCAATTGATAAGATCCTGTATCACCACCTTGGGTCAGAAGGGCTTCCCGATTCTTGTTTCCTAGAAACAGGTTGTTGATGATACGACCATTCAAGGAAGCCACTGCGTATTTAGCATCCACCACCAGGTGGAGTCCTCCTTGGTTGTTCCGGATGAGATTATTGTGAAACTCCAAATCCTGTAGATTCTGGACATTAAGTAAGACAGCGCTATCTGACGTCGTGAAATTTCCAAATAGTTCTAGTCCATTATTTTCAAAGCGATTGTAAGAGAGGGTAATTCGAGGAGTGCTCTCTCCGGCACTGCGGTAGGAAAGTGCTCCCTGTTGGTTGTTCTTCAGTTTGGATTGGGTGATATTGTGATATAAGTTATGGACTGAAAAATATTAAGATGTTATATTAGCGATATGAATAACTAAACCACCAACAAATTAAAAAATACCAATGAGTTCCTTTAATATTTCCCTTTATCTCCCATTAAGAAAACGTTATAGGATAAATAAAAAAAATACATTCGAAACATGTAGATCCCTCTCTTCTAATTTTATTATACCAAGAGCTCGTATTAACGTGTGACTTATCTAAATCCCTTATTATCAACTCTGTTAATCTATTGAAAGTTTACGTGACAAGAACGTTACAGGACAAACTTCTTAAGGTCACACTTACCGTTGTATGTGAGAAGAACGTTACAGGACAAAGTTCTTAAGGTTACATTTACCGTTGTACGTGAGAAGAACGTTACAGGACAAACTTCTTAAGGTCACACTTACCGTTGTATGTGAGAAGAACGTTACAGGACAAACTTCTTAAGGTTACACTTACCGTTGTGTGTGAGATGAACGTTACGGGACAAACTTCTGAAGGTCACACTTACCGTTGTAAGAAGCAAAGGGCAGCGTTACAACTTCAGCTATAAATCCGTGGACTTCACTCGCACCTGTAGCATGAAGCTGTACACTTAGCGTATCACCAGATGATCTGTAAAACTTCGAGTCTCCCTCCGTTTTGCTCTGACCAATGGTCACTTTTCCCAGCAGAGGAATGGTGAAGTTGAAAATGTCTCCATCATGTAAGTATATAGCGTCCGACTGCGGAGTGTACTGGGTAGCATTGAACAGGTGAGACTGGAGGAGACGGAATCCAATGGGTTTAGCACTGTGTGAACTGATGAATATCTTGATGCAGTCCACTGGACGATTATCGTACTTGTAGTACACCAGGAGTCGCTCTTCCACCTTCAGTTCTTTGTTTGTGTCGCAGATATCAACCATGCCAAATATATGATATGGAATATTAACTATCTGTAAAGGGTTGTATGATAAGTCTTCAGACTCAGACGATTCACCTGATAAGGTAACAAAGTTTATTCCAACTCCAAGATTATCTTGGACCACAGATTTGTTCATGCATATGTTGCTAGGGGGCGAAATAAGTTCTATTCCATGAGACGAGCTATGCGATACTGTAACGTCGTACATGTCAATGTCACGTAACACCGCTTGTAGAGCTCCACTCTTCTGTCCATGTAGAACTCCAGCTCCTGTAATACGCACGTGTTCCAGTTTGGATGCTGGTAACTGAGAAGGATCTTGAATGCCTGTTTTAGTAAATTCAAAGTTAGAATTGGAGAACCGAATTCCTCCCCAGTGCTCTTTGGTGTCTTCAATATTATCTTCTCCACAAAAGATGAAGACATAATCTCCCTCATAAGAGCAACTGTACATATGTTCTCCATATCCATTTAAGCGCTTCTCACAATCTTGCAAAAAATTTTCTTCTCCTGTGCACTCTAATGGGTAAGGCCATGACCTGACCTTTCCAATCTCTGTTGGCCCGTAATCATAGCGACGTCCTCGTTTCATATAAACATTCAATCGAGAATATCCAAGTTCGTTACACACTACCTCAGCATTTCTTTCTGTAAAACGTGGATCACACACCGGTGACCATTGGGAAGTAGTAGTGTTGAAAATTTCCAAGAAACCATCCCTTCTGGTTTTTCCACAAGTGGGAGAAACACAAAGCCGGACGTTCGGACTCCCAACTTGTCGACGGAATCTCAAGGTAGAGTCCACCATCTTGGCAGGTCTCATTTCTATTGGAACACTCCTTGTACCCTTTGCATCCAGCTCGCCTAGGACCAAGAGTCCTACACTAGGATAGAACTCTAACAAGACACCAGGCTGGATTGTCAACTTCACACCTGGCATTACGGTCAAGTCCGATTTGATAACGTATGGCTTACTTCTGGATTTTAAAGTTAAAGATTTGTACAGTCTTCCTCCAAAAGCCTTATCGATGTCAATTGACGTGTCTTTGATATCAGCAGGAGTTCCACCAGCATCTATACTTTCACGTCCAAGAAATGGGCTGAAGTCAGCTACAGCGAAGCTGTTCCAATCATCAAAGTCGAAGATTTTCTCTCGAATTTCTGTAACGTTAGTAGTTCCCCACCAGTTCTGGGCTACGTTTAGTGTATTGTCAACAGAACCAGTACGAACACCAGCCAGGAACTCAAACTGTAATGAAGGGTTAGACAAAATGTTTCGAGTGATATTGACCTGCTGGACACCACGCATAGCTAGGGCATAACTTGCTGGATGATAAGTGCCTGTAGTGAACCCATCTTGGTTGTCTTTATTATTCTTTAAAATGTTTTTCTCAAAAACAGCTTTCACAACACCAAACTTATCAGAATGACTTTGGATCTGAAACTGAACAACAAAATGGCAAATATTTTCTTCCAGTTTATTGTTCTGTATATTCATCTCTTTCTCCATACCAGAAACAGATAGCAGGCCTAATTTACAGTTATTTTCCAGCCACTTATTAGTTGACATGTTAATTCGCGCAAAGTGTCCATCTATTAAAAAGTCGAACTTGTCGTTCTTTTCAAAGGAGCTGTTATGCATTACAAAAGAATGAGTATAGTTTTCATTGTAGTGTGAAACATAAGGAAGTCGAATGTTGATACCACCAGCAAGATTACCTTCAAACCTTGTGTCATTCACCACCCAATGAAACAAATTGTTAGAATTTCGAATGTCCCGGCTGTACTGAACGATTCCTCCCTCGTTCTTAGTGAAAGCATTATTGACTAAAGTATAGTTGATTTCGGCTAGTGTTGAGATCAGAGGATCCCAAAAAGGGGTGATTACGTGAAGAATCCCTTTTTTACTCCCTGAGACCTCGTTATCTGTTATAAGAAGCGTTTCGTTGTTATAACGGTTAAAGTGATCTCCATGTTCGCTAAGATCCCGATTGTAATGGTTACTGGAAATACCCTTTCCACAGCTGTCGATCTTATTTGAATGAATCCTGATAAAAAGATTTTCGTCTTTGTACACCATGTCACTGTTGAAGTCAATATCAACTGAAATAAGAATGGATAATGTCTAATAGCAAACTACAAAAACTATGAGCACGTAGCAATCTATTTTATCATCATTTTAAAATTAAAAGAAAATCCAAAAGTCAAAAGTAAACCTTAAGCCCAAAAATAAATCTTAATACAAAAGTGAAATTTATTTCGCAAGTGAACGTTAATTCGAAAGTAAACCTTGTATATGATAAATTTTTGTGCGATAAATTTTGTTTTTGTAACCTGTAAATGGTTGAATTGAATTTCTTAGTTAACTAATTCTCTAGTGTAATCTTATTAGTCTAGCAGGACTATTACTTTCCAACATTTCCGATATCAATAATTTCTTCACCACCTAGTGGCTCAGCGGTAAGTTTAAAGGCTTATAGCGTTAAAACTCAAAGTTCTATATGCGGTTGATGTAACACAAATAACCCATTGTGTAGTTTATCGTTTAGACAAAGTTCAGCAAGAGAGAATAAATATTATATATTTTTAGTATTTTAATTAGAGCTAAGTATATTTATCTTCAAGAAATCTTGATATTGTTATAACCTAAGTTTTTTATTTAGACGATTGTATTGTGGTTTAGCCAAAGGGAGATTTGACATCACGTGATGAGCGTTTGGCTTAACGTGCAGAATTTTTTCAAAGTTTTAAATCAGTTTGAGCAGTATAAAACGAGAATTAGACTAGAACAGTTAATTTTTTTTTGAGTTTGTTAACGAGTTACTAATTATTGAGTTATTATTATCTCCGCCACCGAAGGTGGACGGAGGTTATGTCTTCATCCCTGTGTGTCTATTTGTCTGCAAGATTTCTCGAAAACGGCTAAATGGATTTGTACGAAACTTGGTATACATTTAGACTATGGCCCAATTTAGAAGTGATTAGTTTTGAGGTCAATGTCCCAAAAATCCCTATCTGCTAACATCAAGCCTGATTTTTCGTACTATTTTTGCTCTATAACCCAGTCAAAAATTATCGGATTTTGATGAAACCTGGTGGACACATGTACAATATTATTCCTCATTGTCCTTCCAAAAATGGTCCGTGTACGTTGATAACGAAGGACATACGGACACATTTTCGTATTTTTTTGAGAGCCAAATATGATCAATGCTGTCAGTTACTTTAGTCTTGGAATATTAAGTATGTTTCACCACAATGTAATTGGGCATATAATACGAGTGCGAGAAAATAGTAAGTAAAATTGTTGTACCAGTGTTTACTCTGAATGTAGGCCTAAAGTAAAAATTGTTATGTTAGTGTTTATTCTGAATGTAGGCCTAAAGTAAAATTGTTGTATTAGTGTTTATTCTGAATGTAGGCCTAAAGTAAAATTGTTATATTAGTGTTTATTCTGAATGTAGGCCTAAAGTAAAATTGTTGTATTAGTGTTTACTCTGAATGTAGGCCTAAAGTAAAATTGTTGTATTAGTGTTTACTC